TCATAAATAATTTATTTACAATCTGTAAGACTAATATCGAGCTTTAGAAACTAAGTATGGGGTTTGAGATAAAATTGTATTTATTGACATTGGGGTAAAACTAAAGCTTTATTGGACAATTTATGCAAGATACTTTATTATACTTGAATTTGCCTTGTAGATTTATTAATAATTTGCACTCTCCAAAAGGATTGGGTAGAATATTCCCTGTATGTATAGTAAAGACTATATGCATCCACTATTTGTTATTGTTAACATGCAGAAGTGTTTGGTATCCAGTGTTCATGGTTCACCAAGATTGCCCCAACAAAACTTAAACACACCACCTTGCCAGGATGTGCCATACTTAAAATTATTTTAAACATGTAAATCATTTATTTCCTGCTCTATACCTGCTGTTGGGCCTCCCCATATTCAAACGAGGTCTATAGTCACACCTCAGATTTATTCTAACTCTTGAAATCAGTAAACTATTCCTTATGCCCCTGCTCCTTTTTATGTGAATTCATATAGAAGAGACACAACAACTTAGAGATGAAATATCAGCTTTGATAATATTTGCACAAGTATCTCCAAAGTGTTTCCCAGAATGAAAGATGATTGTAAAACTGGAGTTCAAAATATACAATCATTTTCCTGCCCCCTAGCACTAAAGACAACGTGGCACAAGAGGGACCACCTAATTTAACCAATTACTCTCAGGCTGTGGACACTCTTTACAGGAAGGGACTTACTACCTGCAGATCGAAAGATCAAGGTACACGAAGCCAAAACAAAGTCAAGTACAAAGGATGAGAAGAAAAAAAAAAAAGTGTTACATGTGTATCTTTAAACTCACCTAGGTCTGATTCTGACTCAGAATCTGATCCATCTCTGGGAGTGGGGGAGGGAGTGTGGTGGAATATATATATATATCTCATCATCAAAGTAAAAATGAACAACAACTAACAACTATAAGCCAGAGACATTCTACATGGGGGCGGGGGAGAGTGTAACAGGATCAAAACTGGGGTGGGAAGAGCACACAGGACTATGATGATAGGACATAGGTGAACTGGTGAATTTGTGGTAGAAGTCCATGGGGATTACAACCAAGATGAAAAACAATGTACAAAATGAAGAATGATATATATGAAATAAAAAATAATAATAATCTGATTCATCTCACTAATCAGATTAGTCACTCCTCCACCTGAACTCAGGACACTATGCTCGTGGAAGGAGAATCTATAAATGCAATTTCTCAGCCAGGGCAACAAAAATTCACGTCTTTGAGACCCTGCAGAATAGAGAAATAAAGATCTCTGCCTTAACTCTGCCATTTTTCTAGTCATATAAGCCAAGTATTTGCTCACAAAATTAAACTACACCTTTTTTTCTCACTACCTCACCATTCCCTATACTCTATGAATCACCGAGTTCTGAAGTTTTATATCTTAACATATTTCTCCATATACTCTTTCCTATTATCTATCTCATCAGATCTAACCTTCTTCCTTTGCCAACACTATAGTAGCAATCTCCTAATTCCTTCTTTTTAAAGTCTTGTTCCATATCAAACCTAATCTCTGCATTTGCAGCCAGAGTGATCATTCTGAAATTCAATTCTAATTGTCACCCGCTGACAGCTTCCTATTAGTAGAGGATAAAGGCCAACTTCCTTAAAATGATTCCCATGTTCCCTCAGGACCCTGCCCCCTTCCCCCTGCTCCATACTCATTCCATGCAGTCACCATGCAGTTGCAAGTCGCCATTCCTTTCTTCATGTGATTAACTCCTTGTCCCATTTGGTTAACTCTAGTTCAACTTTGAAAATTCTGTTTAAAAGTATTCTTCCAGGAAACCTTCCCTAACCTCAACCATTCTTGCACCCTGTCCTACACTCATGACTCCAAGGGATTATCCCTCTTGGTAATCACTCTATGCATAGCTCCATCATTGAATCTTTACATTAGATGTGTATCTTCCTACTGGACAGGGGACTATATCCTAATAACTATACAGTTACCAACATTCAAGAGAAGTTGTAAATCCAAACTCTGCTCTTTTAAACCACTGATTCATTCATTAACATCAATTAATTCAATAGTCATTTTTTGGTGAATTTTGAGGGATAGAACCTACCCTATTACCCACTTTTATTTTGTTGAGTTAATATCCTACTTTCCCAGATGCCTTTGGCTTATGTGGAAACCAATCACTTTCCCCCTTCTAGCCATATTCCAGACCATATGAAAAACATTTGCTAACCATTTCCAAATTGTGATTTGTTTATAAATTACACATTTGAATCATTTTTATAGGCTTCTTTTTCCTGGTAACATAATTGATTACTACTTCTCTTTTATGGGGATAGATAGACATAAGTGATGCTTTTTGATTGCTTGATACTCTGGAACTTGAGACTACTGCTCTTTCCTTGCTAACTTCCATGGGAAGGACATGCAAATCTCAGTGGCAGCCTTCAGAATGAAATATAAATAATATCAAAGTAATATAAATCTACTATTTTACAAAAAGTCTCTGAAGTCACCTAACACCCAACTTGTATTTTCTTTGCTTCACAAGACTTCCTGCCCAATAACTTTAGCTGCTAGTGGACAATGCTGTATTTGTTTGTTTGTTTAAAAGGCTTTGATGTAAATCTGACATTTTCCAAAGATAATCTCAGAAAAAATATAGGGAACCTTAGAAAGTGTGTGGTGACCAGCCAATGACATCAAAAGTAGTGCACAACAACAGCTAGTCCAGGAGCATTGAGCTTGGGAGTTGGAAATAATGAAAGATCTGGGTTCTCATGGTTTCTAGCAATGAGAATAATGAAAATCTAGAAATGAGTGAGGGTGAGTGGGAGGCAGGAAGGACACCGGCATGAAAAGATAACGAATTATCAATCTAGTTACTATTATCCCACTATAAGGCTAAGCTTAGAGGAAATAGAAGAGTAAGATGTCTAATTTTCTCATGAAGAGAACTTTAATATAGTAAGCCAATTGGTTAATTTTATACTCCAGTAAATAGTTTAATTCTCTACCATAAAATCTTTTGGAAGCATATTAAAGACAGACATGCTTTCCCACATCAATAGGAAATCACAGTATTTAGTATCCAATTCCGAATGAGCCAGTCAACCAGAACGAATGTCAGTCATAAACACAAGAAAGGCCGTCTCGAAACACAAAGTGATTTAGAAATCCTTGATGTACACAAAACTGTACAAAAACAAGGATCTTTTCTCTCCCCTGAAAATTTCCACACTAGAAATGACTGATTTCTTTTCTAAGCAATAAGATTAGTGATGAAAATTTTAAAGGATCATTGGGAGTTATGCTTGTGTACATTGACTATGGGCATAAAATTTAAAAAATGCCATTAAAGTTTCATTCTCCATTTTTCAGCCTTCTGTTTATCCTCTTCTCAGTTCCCACTCCCAAAAGGTGACAATTCCCCTTCTACAGCCCGCAACCCAAAGCTCCCTTCTCACAATAGATATTGAAGGAGATCCCTACCTGCTCCTTGGTTGCCTGCCTGCCGTTTTGTCTTTCTATGCTTCTGAAGGATCTCTCCAAGTATACAATACTCCCTGCTTCTTTACTGTCTTTCCCCTCAGAACTTGCTTCAGTTCCAATCCTCCTGTCACAAGCTTTACATGTTATACATTTCTTTGCCATTATGTCCTTTAGCTATTCTTTGAAAACTATAACACTTTTTGGGTGTGCTCATGTCATAGAGCTGTGGCTTCCCACCCCATTTTTCAATGGGAAACTTTAGTAAATATTTAACTAATGTTTGTGATTCTCTTTGATTATTTGCTTATTTCATCTCAATTTAGCATTATAAAGCCATTTATAGGAAACTTTTCCACTTTGTAGGAAATTGGGAATAATAAAGCCTGTAGAATTGTACTGATCTTATAGCAACTAAGTAGTGATCGAGTTCTGATCTTAGGAGCTTGGGGACAGCTTAGCCCAATCTCATGTACTTTCTTACCCATTATTGTTGGGATGATATAAAAGCAAAGATTTTAATAACTATCCAAAGTTGTGGCACCTTGATTAGACTAACATTTTTTTCTAAACTCACTCACATTTACATACTCAAGAAAAAAAAAAAGTCGGACACATTGCTTATATATCTCAAGCCAACAGAGTTCTAAGCAACATTTAGCTTGAGTAAAATGTAAACCAAAATAAGTTCTATTACTACTACAGGGAAAAGAAGGAATTATGTGGATAGATATCTGATGTATGTGTCATTTATTTTAATTACTGTTTCATTAGGTATTCAGAGAGTATGAAAACATCAAAAGACTTATGGAGGTTAAATAGCAAAGATAACAAATCCAAAGCATTATTTTAAGGGTTGAGGGAATTTCTTTCTTCCATTAGAAAAAAAAAGGGGGGAGTTGACTCCCTGGTGATGCAAGTGCTTAGAGTGCAGCATTACAAAGCTATCTGCAATACTCTGGTTTCTCTTCAGATTGTATAAATTTTTCACCTTTTACAAAGCTATCTGCAGCCACTGCAGCAAAGTTCAATTCCAGGGCAGGGAGGTGACCCACATAGCACAGCATACCTCTCCTGTTTTGCCTGCTGCTCCCTCAGCAATATTTCATTCATTCTGCCTGTTCTGTTTCCCACTCTGTGTCTGGTCAATCCTCTCACCCATTACTCCTGTACCTCTAGCCTGTTCCACAGTTTTTTCATGAATAAGTAAATATTTTTAAAAAGAAAGAAGGGGAAGGTATTTGCAGTTGGACATTGTTCCCTTGTAAATAAGGGGGACTTGTTTCTCCTCGGTTTGGAGTGCATGTGAGTGCTCAGATGCACTTGTGAGGGCGTGGGGGGCAGTGGTCACTTTCATCAGTTGCATTCAGACAAGTAGAGGGCTCCTCTGAGCCACCCTGCCTTAGCAAGGCTTAGACAGAAATCTATCCACCCTCTAGGGGCATGATGACTAACTGTGAACTTCATGTAAGACTGTATTATTTTCAACCTCAGAAATATTTACCAAAAAATCAGGGACCACGACCTCCTGGACAAAAGGAAAACTGTCACGGCACTGAAAGCAGGAGAGGACCGTGCCATTCTCCTGGGACTGGCCATGATGGTGTGCTCCATCATGATGTACTTCCTGCTGGGAATCACGCTCCTGCGCTCATACATGCAGAGGTAACACCACTGGGTGGTCGGGACTGTTATTTGTCCTTCCTCCTCCACCTTGCAACTTATCATGCCTGAGGTACTCTTCCTCACCCTCTTCCCTAATAAGAACTTTAAGTAGCCTGGCACATATTTTTCAATGATGCTATCTAACAGTAAGAGTAACTTTATGTATAAACTGCCTACTATATGCAGGGTCTTCCCATACATTTCTTATTTAATTTTCATCACCTTTGTGTAAGGTAAATATGCATATACTCACAGTAGAAATGGCAAATCTGGTATTTGAGAGATATAATTTGCTCAGTCACACAACTCTCACAGAGAGCAAAGCCAAGATTTATATCTATACCCCATCAACTCCAGTCTCTATTTTGTTTCTTTAGACTTCAGTTCATTTTCTATGCTCATTCCTTTCTCACTCCACCTACTCTTCCATCACCACACGTGTCAGTCATTTTTAACTGCACATTTTTTTCCTTCAATTTTATTAATTCATCAGTAATTTATAGAACCATAAAACCTGGGGAAGACAACATTACACTGCAGAAGTGCACATGCTTCACTCACCCTCACCAAACCCCAATGCTGATTCCCTATCCTCACCTTCCCCCTCCCCTCCATTCCCTCCAGTAAGCAGTATACTTTTCACAATCTAAGAATTACTGCTGTTGTGTTTTGCAGGTTTCTTTTCTTTGGTTATAGTCCACTAATGTATACTCTGACCAATCTCACTTAGCATCATCACCTCAAAGTTCATCCATTTTGCTCCAGAAGGCACTATTTCATCTTGTGAAAATAGCTGAGTAGTGTCCTATTGAATGTATCTTGCACAATTTCTGTATCCAGTCATCTGTTCGTTGGCATTTAGTTAGGTACAATGTCTTGGCTATTGTGAATAATGCTATAATGAACACAGGAGTCCATAAATCTTTTCATACAAATGTTTTCATAATCATTGAATAAATGTCTAACAGTGATATTGCTGGATCACATGGGATTCCCGCTTTGTTTCTTTAAGGGATCTACAGATCACTTTCATAAAGGCTGCACCAAATTAAACTGCCAATAGTAGATGACTGTTCTTCCACATCCTAACTGTGCCCATTCTCTTTGATTTAAGTCATTCTTATAGGTGGTTTTAATTACATTTCCTTACCAGTAAGGGATGTCGAGCATTTTACATTGTCTGTAGGCTAGCTGAAGTGGTTATTTAGGTCTTTTGTCCATTTTTATTATTTTTATCATTGTTAACTTGCATGAGTTTTTACAGATATTGGAAATGAATGCTTTGTCTGATATGAAAATATCTTCTCATCTTAGGTTACCATTTTTTTATTTTTTGGTGATTTCTTTTGAGATATGAAACCTCCTTAGTTTGATATAATCCCATCTTTAATTTTGCTTTTGTTTCAAAAAAGAAAAAAATGCCCAAGACCTATCACCTTCACTGGTCAGACTTAATTGGTATGGACTGGGGCACAGTGACCAGTAGCTTTTACTATTCCCCAAATGATTCTGTCATGCTATCCAGGCTGAGAAACACTGCTGAGCATCAACTTTATTAAAAAAATAAATAACAGGTTTTGGGGCTCTCATTGGTGGCACAATGGGTTAAAGTTCAGCACTGCAAAGCTAGCAGCAGCTGCTTTACCATGAGTACCTCAAGTTCAATCCCCAGCAAGGGAGATGACCCACATGGCATGGCAGACCTCTCCAGTCTCGCCCGTTGCTCCCTTCAGCAGTGTATTAGTCGAGCTGCCTGTTCTGCTTACACTCTGTCTCTGGTGAGTCCTTTCACCCTGCCTATACCCCAGTTCTGTACACATAAATAAATGTCTTTAAAAAAAATAACAGATTTTAAACACTTTTATTTTAATGTTTGCCCTCGGTTTATTAAATAGATAGGGAGGCTATTAAATACTGAGATAGCAAATATATTCTTCTCTGAATAAACCATGTGATAAATCCCCACAGCATTTCTAACCAACTGTTAGCCATAATTTTGACACTGGGAGCACAGGAGAATCTCAGACCTCCTGTAACTAGTGGGGGAAGTCTCGTAGTGACTCAGCTTAAAGAAATGAGGCCCTGTCAAATGAAAAATTGAGGTTTCAATCCAAAAGAGAATTGAACCATTTTGTGACATTCACTTCTCCACCTAAATTAATGCTTTCATTTTAGAAGCAAAATCTCACTGAACTACAGTAATTTGCTAAAATTAAAGTACCATCTTTCTCATTTGTGGCTGTTCCACTCTGTTTCTTGAAGCTTTCAGCTGTGCTCCTTTTCAATGAGCGCTGATGTCTCTGCCCCAGTGTTCACTGATTCCAAAATGGCTTTCATATACTCACATCTGCTTAGAGCCATCTAACATTTATTCTTTCCTTCTTCTATAAGCAAAATCTGACCATCTTTGTCTCATGTAAATATAATTTGCCACATCAGGACAGACAAGCTAGTATCCTGGCTGTAGCTTGAAATTGTTCTTGAAAAGGGGGCTCTGTCAATGCATGTCCAGCAAAGGAAGGGAAACTAATCAGCAAAGAAAACATATTGGCTTCAGATCACCATGGTAACCAGCTTATACCCAGAAGCAAATCACAGACAGATGGTGTCACAAATGTTGCCCTGATCATAAAATTCTAAGTATTCTAACATGTAAAGCTCATCAATGGGCAGCTAGAGTCTTGTGTGTGCCTTTTGTAATCTTCCTAAATGATAGATCCCACTGAAACATTAGTCTGCACAGAAGAGTCTATTCTTTTCCCTTCTTTTCCTTTATAGGAAATATTTATTAGGCCCCTTCTCAAGAACTTACATCATCACATTTAATCCTCACAAAAACATATTTATGTGACTACCTCCAGATATAACTTGACCTAAGTCACAAAACTCAAAAATGTAAAGCTAGGATTTGAATACAGAAAACCTGATTTCATTGTCTGCTTTCAAACACTAGTATGTCTAGCGATATAGAAATACCAGTACATGGGTGACCAGAACAAGAATAAATAAAATGAGCAAGTGTGAATCCCATTGTGAAATTTCTTAATTTAATTATGCCTCTGCCTGCTCTTATATTTCCAGACTTGCCTTAAAATATACAACAAATTCAGATTCAAACAAAACCTTATAATGATCCAACCAAATTTTTTTTAATTTAAATTGCATTATAATCTTGCATTATAACATTACAGTTTCAGGTATGTCCTTTGTGTTCATGGGGTCAAAATTCAACATCATGGAGTGATTCTGGGCCTTAGAAAAATACAAGATGAAATGGATCCCTTCACTCACTAGTTGCATTTATTTGCACATTACTTAATTTTTGTGACCCCTCACCTCATTCACTTTTAAAAAGAATTAATACTCAACTTACAAAGTTTCTGGGAGTATTATAGAAGATAATGCATGTACCAATTAGAGTGAAGAGAGATGCAACAAATGATTGCCATTAGTATAACCAAATAGTATCATTTCTCCCTTATTAGAAAGACCTTGGAGAAATACCAATATGTCACTGTCCTTTCATCTGTCAAACCGATCTCTATCCCCTCCATGCCTTAGCCATCTTCCCTTCCCTTCTCCCTTACACCTTCTTTGCATAAAAACTGGTCACACTGCCTGGTAAGAGCCTGGTAGGAAACTGCTTACAGTTGGAAATACAGGGTGAGTATCTATATTTATGACTATCAGTGAATTTGTTTGCTTCACTTTTTTTATTGTGGTAACATTAGGATTCTCTCCATTAGGTATCACCACCATAGGGTACCTGCCATCAAATCACCTAGAGTCCATTTGCTTCCTCTTTATTCCTCTTTATTCCCTTCCCCCCTTTGCATGCTCTGTTCTATAGTCAGTTTTCAAGGCTTAGCTTTTAAGATTGTCTTTGGTTCTTGGTTTGGTTTCTCTATATTCCACTACTTAATAGTGACACCTTCTAGTATTTGTTTCTCCTTTCTCCTTCACTTAGCATTATCTCTTCCAACACTATCCATGTTGCTAGAGGAGATGAGTTGGGTTTTTTTGTTTGTTTGTTTGTTTGCTTATGGTTGCTTGATTTTGCTCTGAATAGTATCCCATTGGATATAAATACCACATCCTCATAATCCATTCATCTGTTTTGGGACATTTAAGCTGTTCCCATATCCTGGAAGTTGTAAACACACTTCAGTGAACATGGGAGAGCATGGTTCCTTTCAAATTAGCACTTTTGTGTTCTTTGGATAAATACCAAGGAGTAGAATTTCTGGGTCATATGGCAGATCCATTTGAAGTCTTTTGAGAAATAGCCATACTGTTTTCCATAGAGGATTGACCAGTGTGCATTCTCACCAACAGTGTAGGTGGGTTCTTTTATCTCTACATCCTCACCAGTATCTATTGTTTCTGATCTTTTGATATGGGCTATTCTCACAGGTGTGATATGGTATCTCCTGTTAATTTAGATTTGCATTTCTCTGGAACTAAGTGATGATAAACATTTTTTCATGTGCCTGTTTGCCATCTATATATCTTCGTTGAAGAAGTGCCTATATAGTTCTTCTGTTAGTGAGTTTAATAAGGGGAAAATGTATCTTAAATCAAGCATTAGAGAATATTACACACATCCAAAGGAAGTCAATGAAAAATCTCAGGTAACAGGCAAAGTCTACATACATTTGTATTTTAGTTTTACTGAACCTCTTATTCAAAGGCATAAACTTTACAAGATAAAATGTACTGTAGACAATTTTAAAAGGTTCTTCAAACTAAGGAGTTGATCTCTGATTATGTCTTCCTGGACATTAGCATCAGACTTGTGTTTACTTTCCCTTTTTCTGTAGTGTTTGGACCGAGGAGTCTCAATGCACCTTGCTGAATGCAACCATCACAGAAACATTTAATTGTTCCTTTAGCTGTGGTCCAGACTGCTGGAAACTCTCTCAATATCCCTGCCTCCAGGTGTACGTTAACCTGACTTCTTCTGGAGAAAAATTCCTTCTTTACCACACTGAAGAGACAATGAAAATCAATCCAAAGGTAAGAGCTTGGCACCTGGTCACTGCATTTTAGTCACTATCACAGGGCTCCCATGGGAAGCTTATGACTCTCTGAAGTTCCTTTGTGCCAGTATTGCAAAAGAAAATGTCACTAAGAAGTAGGCCCTGACCATACATTCACAGGACTCACTATTGACTCTTGCTTGGAAAACGTTTATTTTCTGTGCTTATTGTGGACAAACCATTGGTGCATTTTATGTTAGGGCAGATTTAGCCTTTACTTCTATCCCAAAGGGTAAATATGAAATCCTTATTTATACACAAGTGGACCAAGTGTTTCAAAGCAGGTGTGCAGCTTTGTCAGAGGTATACAAGCCAAATAACCAGGTATTTGGCATACCACTGAGAATTATGCAGCAACTATTTTGATTTCTCATGGGAATTTTATTCTATACTCTTGAGATATAACTTATCTCTATGAAGCTCAGCTTTTTCCTCTAAAAGGGAAATTTCGAGAAGGGCATTACAAGAATTAGGGTAGAATGCATAAAGTCCTAAGCAGAGCATTGTGCCTGGCACAGGAAAGACCTTCAATCCCTTGTCAAGGGACATTTAGGTGTGTCTTTCTTCATATACATTATGTCTATAGAAACTGAATTTTCTAGGACTGACATATTCAGGTCTGCATGGTGGATGTTCAGCAAATGTGTATTTTTCTTAAAGCTACACCTAAAATTTGCATTTTTAAGGACTGGGGTAACCAGTCAAGCCTCATCAGAATCAATCTGCCATTATCAATTTTAAGTTAAATATGTTGGGCTTGGGACTTTTAGTAGCAATTTAAGTGATCACAATACTTTCATGTGTCAACACAACCTGGTGAGAACCTCCAATAAGACAACTGACCCTCATCACCACAGCACAACACCATGAAAGTTAATCCTTTTTGAAAAATGTTTCATTAAAATTATCAGCATTTAAGTGGCATAGATCACATGTACTAAAAAAATGTAATTTGAAGTATAATCCTAGGAATTACAATTTGTCTTAGACATATTGAAGCAAAGTAAGGAAACACGCATCTTGGTTACAGTAACTTAAAAATATTCCTGCAAATATTTTTGAAGGCTCAACTTAATGACTATTTCAGAGAATGTCATTTAAAATGTCTACTCCGATTTCCTTGTATTTGTAGACCACAAATAATACCAGTTCTAACATTGCTCTGAAAAATATAAAACTTAGCTCTCCTATAAAGTATTTGTTTTTTGTTTTTTAATCTATACCGTCAAGTCAGATTTTTTAAATCAATGCTGCCATGGTCAATGTCTATAAAACTCTCAAGTCTCAATGGGATTGGAAATTTGAATCAGCACCAAAAATGGAGCCATGTTTCCGTTTCCTCATTCTGGTATTTTATCACCACAGCCCTGGGGATGCAATACTGAGGCTATAAACAGGGAAGGAACTTACCATAGACAGTCACAATAAAAAATTTAGCACCAATATCTTGTCTGCTATCAATATGGTACTAGGCCACTGTTTTGTTATTTGCCCCATTACCTTTTTTTAACTGTGAATTTTAACACACATGCAAGAAGTGAAAGTGTACAGCTTAAGCATTTATTACAGAGATCTGCCAGTAGCCAATGGTGAAAAAGAAATATTTCCTGCATCTCAAAAGCATTCTTCATGCCCCTTTTGCAATAATTATAGATTCTGCCTCCTGCTGAGGAGCAAACTATCTTATTACAATAATTACTTTCTCAATTTTCTTCATTATTTCATCACTAGGTATAAATCCTTAAAACACTTCATTTTTTCTTCCCGGTTTTTAAAAATTATATAAATGGGCTCATTCAGAATATCTTCCAACTACTTTGCTAGAAGCATTTCATTTCTTTCTACTGTTGATGGGCATTTTTAAGGTACAGGTTGGGGCAAATACAAATAATGCTACCATAAATAGTGTTGGCATTCTTGGTTTATGTTTGTTGGTTTATAAGCAGGCACATTTTGCCAGGTATAAACCTGGGAATGGAATATCTAGATCATAGGGCATATACATCCTAACACTTAATAGGTAATATCACATGGTTTTCTGAAGGACCTGTACCAATTTATTTACCTACCAACCCTGTAAGTATTAAAGTTTTAAAGCTATTTCTTCCTCATATTCTCTTCTATATGCCATAATACTATGCAAATGGTATCTTATATATAGTTATCATAAGAAGAAAAGTATTTGAGATTAACAATAAGTATTATAAAGTAGCCATTTATTTGCAACTCCAAACTCAACATCAGGCCCATTCTGAAAAATTCTGGTTCTCTTAAATCCATAGGAATGTGAGTGAGTGTATGTGTATATAAATTTTCTATCGACAGAATTTTTCATCCCTGACAGTATTGATATTTTGGATTAAACATTTCTTTGTTGTTTGTGAGGGTAAGGTGAAGCCATATCTTATACATTATGAGAAATTTAGCATCCTATATATCTCTGCCACTAGATGTGTAGTACCCTCCTCCTTCCAGTTATGACAATTAAAAGTGTCTCCAGACAGTGGTAGAATCTCTGCTATCAATGTTATTAAGCTTTGAGCTTGGGTGTTGTGTGATCTCAGAGTTCTAAGTAAATCTCTCAAGCATTGAGTTGTTCCACATAGACTTTGAGGGGAAAGGAAGAAAATACTCAAATCTAAATGAGAAATGAAAGACTTAACAGTTATTGTCTACTGTCTACTATGTACTATGTGCCCAACACTATGCTAACAACTTTATAAAATTTGCCTCATTTATTCCTGACTGAAGCCCTACTTCTAAAATAGTAACAGCCAGTTTTTATCAAGAGCTTGCAGTGTACAGTACACCACTGTAAATTACTTAATATTTTATACAAATTCATTTAATTATAACAGCAACTCCATGTATTCACACTATTACCTACAATTACAATAATGAAACAGAGCTTAGAAAATTAAATAATTTTCCTAATGCCATATATTTACTAATTACATCTGAATAAAGATTGAAGTCTCTACCCCATTATTTTACCTCTCAGAGAAAAAAAATATTAGAGGATCCTCTTAAGAAGTAAAAACTTCTAAAGAAAATCTAAATTCTATAAAATATGTATCCTCTGGTGTCATAGTTTAGTGAATGAGTGAGAATCAGTGCCATTCCATCATCTTCCAAAAGGTGCTTCAGATCAAGTAAAAGACCATAAGCAAGGTGTAGTATACGTTTGATCCAGAAGGAAAGACAGGTTTGTATATCCAGCAGCAGTTAATACAGAATGGAATTAGATAGATGTACACCTTGAAGGAGAAGACAACATGCCCAGAATTTAATATATAACACTCTCATAATTAGCCTTAAGTTTAGGGATTTTTGTTAAACAACTGATAAAATCACTTATGGACCAGGGATTCAGAAATCCCTGTGATTGACAAAAGTTTAGTCACTACTCAATAAAATTGAATTGTGGGACAACCAATGGTACATTTGTATAGAAATAAAAGGAAGAATGATCCCCCAAAGAGTTTAGACTGAGCATCAGTAAGAGCATGCAGAAGAATTAGATTCTAATTCTATTCAATTTCTGAGAAAGAGGACCATGGCTATGGTCAGAGAAGATATCAAACTCACTGCCCAACTAATTTGAATCATGGAACCCAGGGCCACCATGGTTTTCACTCTTCTAGTTATTGACTAATCTGAAGGCTCTAAATGTGTCTATTACATCAGCTGTTTTCCTAAGTCTTTGAAGCTGTTTCTGTGCTCCAAATCAAACACAATTTCCAAAATAAACATGGGAAACACTGGGAAGGATAACCTCTTTCTGGAGTCACCTGTGTCCTGGCACTGAAGGATAACATTATGTGCTGCAGAGTGTGAATACTATTCTCCTTTCCTACCAAATATTTTAAACTGCCCCACTTGCCAAAATTAAGCAGACACTAGAAGAGCAAACTAAGCATATCTAAACTAAATTTTGTGGGATTTGTATTTTTTAATCAATGGTAAATAGCAGGAAGATCCAAAAAGGAAAAGGTAACACCCTAATATATCATCAAACTTCATAACCATTTCTACCCACATCATCACAAATATTCACAAAACTCCAAAGTTTTATACACACACACACACATACACACACATACACGTCGACTAAAATAACCCAAGGCTACCAGCTGGCGATCATTATTTTCTTTGAACATAGGAATTGTGTCTTTTTCTCTAGCACAGAAAATAAAGCCTGGTACAAACATGCTTAATAAACATATTCACAATAATAATTGTTTGAGTACAATAGACATGGTTGCATCTGACTTTGGGACAAAGAATATTTACATTTCATATGATCAATGTTTCTATTTTTTGCTTTAATGTCATAATCATTTTGAAGCAGGATGCCTGGCTATTAAAAAGTTCTGAAAGCATATTTGGGACAATACCCTCCCCATCCACCATAAAGGGTATAGTTTTTACTAAAAGCTTCATTATGGTCCCATCCTTTGTTCTGTGTTCTAATCCTATTTTCCCTAATGATCTACCTTATACATTATGTATAATGTATACATAATTATGACACCTATGTCTAGCAAATTAGAGATAATAAATACTGACTGGATTTCATTAAACTTCTAACTCCTTACTAAAATAAGGATACTTCCCTTTTATAAAAGAACAAATGAGAAATAAACCCTTCCACTGAAGTGATGCTAAGAAGTGATAGCTCCCTTCGCCTTTATAAAGGAGACTGACTAATGAGATTATTCATCAAATACCTTCTCCCATTGCCACCACACCTCCTATGTATTTTATTTTGGGGGTGAATATCTGTCACTTTTTATTTTTTTTTTAAAGTTTATTTTTACATCATTTTTCACATTTTTTTTTATCTCAATTGTAATCCCCACGGGTTTCCCATCACCAAATCACCCCTGTGCCACCACCATAGTCCCGTGCAT